GAATTCGAACGTTTGCGGCACATGATATGCAAGGCGAGGCGCAAATACAGTCATCGCATCATACCTATGAACTACAGAAGCTGGAAAGACCACTTATTCACTCATTTGGTCGAACCGAAGGTAAGCATTCAGTGGATAAGTAGCCTTTCGATCATTATATTTACTGTCAGATTCTGGAAGCGTGCTGTCATTGCGAAATCTTGAAAGGCTCTTAGCGATCCTTTGTTTTTCCCGGTAGATAAACGCTTGAGTTGTCGACTCTCTTTCAGGCAGCAGAATTTATGGTTCATTTTGTAGCCACATTCCGTTATTACTTATCCAGCCTCTCTACGCCATGTACGCAAATCAGCGGTCCTGCAGTATTGTGTTTTTCGCCTTTTGCCTTCACTAATCGGCAAGTAATATGACCATCGGATCCTATGATTAGTCGCCTTTTCTTTTGTTTGGATATTTGCAAAGCTGTTTCAGTGCTGATTTTGAAGTTCATTAATGTGCATTTGCCTATAAATAAGATATCTGAAGAATCTGAAAAAAAAGCGAGGTTTTGAGTGAACAACGTTCGAACTGTCTGCTCTGGGTCCCCTTAACAACGCTGGTTTTGTTAGTCGCAAAATACTATCATCTATGCGTTAATGGGTACAACTCTTGTATATATTGAAAGTAGTATTGCACACTGCATCAATACCGGTAACTTCGAAACAGCGTTCTTACTATAATTAGCAGTTATGGCAAATATTGCACTAGACAGCGTAAGGCAAGATTGCTGCAGTCAGTAGGCAAATATGGAGTGCTACTTGTTCTGCTCATTTTGGGACATTTTCCTAGCGCCCGAATTCTTGTAAGCAGGATTCTACACTGGTTGCTCGAAAGGCGGTACCTGTATCTTTTAACTGAGTTGTGTCTAAATAAGCCTGATTAAAGTCCAGAAAAAAGATCCAAACTCAGCAACTTCACTAAGAAAATGTCGTCTTGAACCTTGCGAGTATAAAGCTTGAAAGTTCCAGACGCGTACTTTGCAAAT